TATATATATATATCTAGCCAGATTTATGAAAACCGTACCATCGGACACCAGGAGCCCTTACACCTTAAACTGACTCAACTAAAGTAAATATGGCCAAGAAACTCAGCTCTTACCCATGGTTCTCTTAAGGTGACTCTCTTCTGGTTCCTGATTAGCAAAAGAAACATTCAAGTCCCTCAAAAAGACACTCTGGACTTGTCCATACACTCTAGTTGCTTAAAGGCCCTGAATGACGGAGGACGCTTGAGACTTGAGCAAGTTCTAAGCAGAGAATTCAAGGTTAAATCACCCCCCCTGACTTCCTACACCCCCCCAGCCTAGCACGTGCTTGGGGGGAATGCTTTCATTGGCCAATGGGCCTCAAACGTTACAAGAATTTGACATGACAAACTAAAGGCAGACATGACCAGTGCACTGACTCTCCCAGACCAGGACTAACGTAAGGTACAACGCTTTTGCAGCACCCTCCCCCCCTAGGGATTGACATGGAGGCCCCTTTCCAACCCATGGCGAGTTAGCTCAGGGACTGAACTTGCCAATGAGACCAACCAGGACACCAAGCCCCCTATGTTTTTTCTCACCGCAGTGACCAGAAAGCTGGCTATCGCCAGCTTTCTCTGCGAATATTTTGGTCCATTTTGAGGTATGTTTTCAAAAATTCGGCTAGATATATATATCCCCATAATTCATATTTATTCTCTGGTATTCGTCAGATAAATGTTGCAGATGAAAAGAATAAGATTAACAACCCTGTCCTGCTTTGAAACAAACATTTACCTACGTGTATTTTTACGTACCTACCCTAAAAAACCAGTCTCCGATCCGCAAACAGTTATCGGTTACTGATCTCTCTGTTTATCCTATATAAACTTAGAAATACCTGCGAATAGCTCCTGACCGGTTAGCGAAACACACAGTATAGGATAAGGCAAACGTTTTGCTTAACATGCCAGCTTAATGCGTGCTATAATAAGATAAGCCATGCTATGCGGTCGGCTAGCGCGATGAACACTTCGCATGAACACTGTAGCTTAGTCGATTGATAGAAGCTGAAAATCGTAGCAGTGTTTGAAAGCAATTTTTAGCGCTTCATCATAAAACGATTTCATATCAATAGTAGCCACATGACGTATACATTGTAAGTATAAAGATTATTATAAAAGAACAACGCAAAAAAAGGCATGAACAG